CGCCACTGGTGACCTTGTAGCAACTTGATAAAATAACAATATTGTTACAACTTGTAGACAAGCTTGCTACAAGCCTTTTGCAAACACATCTTGTTGACAAGTTGTGAGATTTTTACGTGTGTACGTGTTTGCACGAAGTTCGCGTGAAATGGTCAATAATGAAAATTTTTCAGCACCTTTTAATGGTGTCTCCAGATAATGAAGATATTGATATTGACTGACATCTTATGACCTCTTACAAATTGTATCTCTTATTTTTATTTTCAATAGCAAAAATAGATGATCTTTGCATATCGATAATCCTAAAATCCTATCCAAATAATCCATAATCTTTTTTTTTAACCAGCAATAATCCGTAATCCTGCCCAAAAATGCCAAACAATCCATAATCCTAAAACCCTAACAGGGCCTCAGGAATGGCCTCAAGCGTTATGTCCAAAATTACAGTATATCTTGCATACTTCTGTTGAATATTGGTGTGCTAACGTTTATGAAATAATCTAACATGTTGGACAAAGATTGAACTTTATCATTTCAAATCTAATCCAGAGAGAACCAGCATTTAAAGATAAAGTAGCTTGATATATGCTTAAAAACTCAATAATTCATGAGGAAAACACAAAGGAAATCACTACCGTGTCGGTGGTTTTAATGTGATAAAATTTACATAATTTACATAAACTTTAGCTTTGATTTTCTCCGCTTAGACAACGTTTATTTTTAGAATTACTTCGCCAATGAACTCATCAGATGCGTCGTTTTTTAAGCCATGTACCTGTAAAACACTTGTAATCCGTACTTTATCAGATATAAAACACTCGAGCTGCGCTCTCAAATTGGCTTGGAGCAGAGCAATGTCATTGAAATAGAGTGCCAACAAATTTAATTTGGTATTTCTTTTATTTTTTTCTAAATATGGATAAACTAAATATAGAGTAGAAGAAAACGTTTTATTGTTTTATTATCTGAGGCATGTTACTTTTCACTTTCCTTGAACAAGACTTTCAAAGATTTTTTCTGCCTATTTCCAAAGACTTTTCAAAGACCTTTGAGAGCAATCAGCTGTCGAAAAATTGCGAGTGTGAGCACCACTTTTACCCGGGTAATTAGTCCCGTCAAATCACATCCTATAAAATGCGCCTTTTCGTCGATATTTGCGAAAATCTTGCTTCAATCAATCTATTTTATTAGCTAGGAAATCGTATAATCAAATACTGAAGAATTTAAAGACTTTTAAAGACTTTCTTCGCTTTTTCACACAATTCAAAGACTTTTCAAAGACCTTAAAGACCTGCATTCAAATTTAAAGACTTTCAAGGATTTCAAAGACCGCTACGAACCCTGTAATGAATAGCGCATGTTTCGCACAGGAAATTTATATTCTTATTCTCTGACACACTAGAAGAGTTTGTGGCCTACTTGGCTGATGAATCATGATTGACTCTTAAATATCAGTACCAGAACTGAAGTTGGAAAAACAGTGGTGGACGGTTTGAAAAATATGTGGGGGTGCGGATTTACCGAATGGCCTGTTGCCAATTTATTCCCCAAAAATGCCATTTTCCTAGTCGTCCCTAAAAATATCCATGACCATGACCCTAGTTTAACGCAAATTTACTTATCTACTGCAGTATATAGAAGATTATCAAGTTTTCATGGTTAAAATCCATCTATACAGCTTAGTCGCCTTCTCTTGTCGAACCCCTCATCTACTGTACACCACTGTACCAAAACTATTGCCTATGCTATAAATTAACTAGTCCATGTCAATCATTTTTGTCCCAAACTAAGCTATTAAATTAGTGTATAACTTATATAATATAGATAATAGTGTCAACTATGTGTGTTGTAATAGTACTCTTCGTCTTTTTAAATAAAAAGTTGTGATTTCATTCGTCCCTAGCTCACTTTTCCTAAATAAAGATGTATATTTGCTGTGATGTCTATTGTAGTGGAATTGTTCTGTTTCTTTCATCTGTGTTTATTTTTTCTTATCATCTTCTTCCTCTGTTTCAGACTCTTCATATTGTTTTGGTTTTTCGCCAGGTTTTAATAACGATCCAACATGTTCATATCTCTCCATGAACTGCATTTCCCATTCTCTCAGAGACTCCAGTTGCATACTATTGAGATCAGATAAATCATCATACTCCTCTTTCACTGCACTTACTTCAGCACTGAATGTTGCTAACCCTCGACTAGCATCATGACCAGCAAATGCTGAGTATGGACCACCTAAACACAAAAAATAACAACATTTTCAGCTGGGCTTCATGCACTCTACTTTCTTATTTTAGGCAGTCCAACAAATATACTATTATCTAGACTGTTAATAACAAATAAACGTTTAAAAATGTGTTTAAATTAATAACAATAAAAGTTTTAAAAATGTGTTCAAAGTGTTTCTGTTAATTATTATAAAATGTTTCTGTTTGAGGATAATAGTTAGATTGCGAGCAGAACGTTTTGAGCGAAGCCCCTTCGTTGGGAAGTTTGTAGCTTATACATACTAACTTCCCGATGAAGGTGTAGAAGTTCTCCTTGTAGAAGTTCTCCTTGTAGAAGTTCTCCATGTAGAAGTTCTCCTTGCAGAAGTTCTCCTTGTAGAAGTTCTCCCTGTAGAAGTTCTCCCTGTAGAAGTTCTCCTTGTAGAAGTTCTCCTTGTAGAAGTTCTCCTTGTAGAAGTTCTCCTTGTAGAAGTTCTCCTTGTAGAAGTTCTCCTTGTAGAAGTTCTCCTTGTAGAAGTTCTCCTTGTAGAAGTTCTCCTTGTAGAAGTTCTCCTTGTAGAAGTTCTTCTTGTAGAAGTTCTCCTTGTAGAAGTTCTCCTTGTAGAAGTTCTCCTTGTAGAAGTTCTCCTTGTAGAAGTTCTTCTTGTAGAAGTTCTCCTTGTAGAAGTTCTTCTTGTAGAAGTTCTCCTTGTAGAAGTTCTTCTTGTAGAAGTTCTCCTTGTAGAAGTTCTCCTTGTAGAAGTTCTCCTTGTAGAAGTTCTCCTTGTAGAAGTTCTCCTTGTAGAAGTTCTCCTTGTAGAAGTTCTCCTTGTAGAAGTTCTCCTTGTAGAAGTTCTCTTGTAGAAGTTCTCCTTGTAGAAGTTGAGAAGTTCTCCTTGTAGAAGTTCTCCTTGTAGAAGTTCTCCTTGTAGAAGTTCTCCTTGTAGAAGTTCTCCTTGTAGAAGTTGGAACTGTAGAAGTTCTTCTTGTAGGAGTTCTCCTTGTAGAAGTTCTCCTTGTAGAAGTTGGAAATGTAGAAGTTCTCCTTGTATTTTTCAGATAATTGTATCCCTATCAATCCACAGCTTTCTTATTATTGCTGGGTTGCCTATGATTTTACTCTAACATTTTTACTTATCAAGGAAATTTTAATTTAATCTGCCCATATCTCTTGTTCACCCACTACAGTGTAGCTACCAGTACACTCTTTGTGAAGTCATTCTACTTAATTCCAGATGATTGGAGTTCTCCTTGTAGAAGTTCTCCTTGTAGAAGTTGGAAATGTAGAAGTTCTCCTTGTATTTTTCAGATAATTGTATCCCTATCAATCCACAGCTTTCTTATTATTGCTGGGTTGCCTATGATTTTACTCTAACATTTTTACTTATCAAGGAAATTTTAATTTAATCTGCCCATATCTCTTGTTCACCCACTACAGTGTAGCTACCAGTACACTCTTTGTGAAGTCATTCTACTTAATTCCAGATGATTGCACTTATAAAGGGGCTGAACTTTATACTTTCTCAAGCATCGCAGGGTCTGAAATTCAAAATATTTTTCAGTACCCCACTGGGATATCAGGATTCAAAGTTTGGTATCCTTTCCGAGAATCAGGTATCCCACTGCTGGATACTGGTTACCATAAACGTTGGCATCCCTGAACCATCAAAGTAAGTATACAGTACATGTCTCTTATTTATAAAGTTTGTTCGTTCACTGCAACCAGGTATATCAATCATGTTTCGCTCGCTACTCTGGTTTAAATAAATGATTACAAAGCCCAGTCGAATTGTAATCAAGACCCAACGTTTCGACACTCTAGTCTAGTGTCTTCATCAGGGGTGATCTAAAACTGCGATCGTGGCTTCTTAAATACCCAAGGGATGACGTCACCTGCCAGCCCTATTTGACCTTAGGCCATATTTTCGCAAAGCCAAAAGATCCTGTTGAAAAAAAAATCAGAAGACTCATGCTATATATTCTATACCATGCGGTGACTGCGACAAAGAGTATTTGGGTCAGTTTAAACGCCAGTTTGGTACACGGCTAAAAGAACATCAAAAGGCTGTTTCAACTTTAGACAAGGGAAAATCAGCTTTAGCCGAACATGTATGTTACACCAAACACGAGATTGCGTGGGAAAACTCTAAAGTAATTACCACAAAAAATCGCTATGGTCAAAGACTTTGCCTAGAAGCGTGGCATATAAATATGAGTCATCATGCGTTGAATAGGGATGACGGCGCCTATTTGCCAGAAGAATATATGCATCTTCTTGGCAGGTGACGTCATCCCTTGGGTATTTAAGAAGCCACGATCGCAGTTTTAGATCACCCCTGATGAAGACACTAGACTAGAGTGTCGAAACGTTGGGTCTTGATTACAATTCGACTGGCCTTTGTAATCATTTATTTAAACCAGAGTAGCGAGCGAAACATGATGTCTCTTATTGTTATAAATTACAGTAACAATAGAAGACTCAACAGCCAACAACTAGACCACCAAGTTAGAAACCAAAGGCTGGTTATCTTGAAGAATGCAGACTCATAGTATTCAAAGCTATAGGGAGAGCACTGGAGACATTTAGTATTGTCTTAATATTTGAAATTTTGTGACATACCCAGAACCAAATTTTAGTATCCTGTGGATATCGGGATTTCAGACCCTTCATCGGAAGTGGCTATAACATACAACCAGTGGTGGAAACTTTGCGAAATATTGGGCAGATTATTGGGGTGCAGAAGGCACATGATTTCTAAGGGGTATGGGGGAATGCTCCCCCAGAAAATTTTTAAAATTTGGATCCCTGAAATGGCATTTGCAACATTCTGAGAGCACATTTTGTAAGAAATTTCAGGTTTTCAAAACATTATTTTAATGGTGCGTTGTGTTATAAATCATATGCTAAGCATAAAAAAACGACATTTCAGAGAAAATATTCTAGATGATTAAATACATTTGTGAATGGAATTGCAAAGTGGTTTAACTCTTTCTCGACAAGTCCCATGCATGTCAACTTCTAGAAGCTGACGACTTTGTATGTTTATATCTTCGGTTCAGTGCATGCTATAAGACAATAATACCACCAATCGATTCAGTGAAACAATATCAACTAATTCCTTACGATAGTTTGTCATTGCCAACATTGTAGCGATTTATGACCTTTGAAAGTCAAGCGAGATCGTAATGATATAGACTAGCCAAACCTTTCCCTGAACATAACTTCAGCCCCTTCGGACGTATCTTCTTTGTAATAGTCGTGTTCAAATCGCTATCAGAAACACTATTTAGAGCGTCTTTTTCGAGCCTATATCTTCAAATTTGCATCTTTATCAAATCTCTACCGGAAATACAATTTCAAAATGTCAAAACATTTCTACGTTTCTATGGTATGACTCTGTAAATGCCAGAAATCGATTCTAAAGGTAAAACGCTTGACTTTTGACGTCATCCGGCTATGAGAGCTCCTTATTGGACAAGTATAGCACACTGCACGTGCGTCTCATTTTTCAAAATGAAAGCTAGGTAAAATTATTGGGGGGGCATCCCCCCCCCGCCCCCCTAGTTTCCGCCATGCTATTAAAAGAACTAATAACATGCATTAGTTGCTACATGTTGGCACTGCACATGCTGCAAAATTACAGTAATAATAACAACACAAAAAATTTCCAAATCTATTGATAAATATAGTCTTTGTAAAATCAAAATATTACTATATTTTTATAATTGCTAACTTGCTAATGTATTTTATTTAAATTAACAATTTAATGCACCTTAGTTTATTATTTTACTTTGTCTAACACGAGACGATTTTACTTGTTTAGTGGAGATTTGTATTACCTAGTTGGGCTAGACTAATTATCTTTACAACAATTGTGATATTACTTTCGTATCTGTGTTTATCCTAACCCAACCTCTCAACTTTCCCTGTGGGAGGAAACCGGAGCGCCCACAGAAAACCCACAACTTTCGGCAGAGCGTTGACAGACTCTTTTCACATGGGCCCGTACAAGGTTCCAAATGAGGCCAGTTGTGCCTGGGAACCCAATCTCATAAATTTTCCAATTTTAGGCAAAAAATGGTAAAAATTGAAAAACTAGGCAACCAGAAAGCGTAAACTAGGACGCCCTGATATAGGTCACAAAATCAGTTGTCAGTTTGTGTTGTGTACGTGTATTCTACATTATCGTGCTTAATTTCGAAATATTTTGCTATTTTAATACCGTATGTAAAGCTGTTTCCATATTATATTAATAATGTCTGTTTTAGGAATGTTTTTATTCTGTCAACATGTCTAGATTTAGATTAAAACAACGTCATTACGCGCAATTGGTATTTTGGAGTCTGGGAACGTCCTAGTTTTTGACGACAACAGCCTAGTTTTTTTCCAAATAAGGTAATTCTAGGACGTTCTCAGACCCCTGCGCACAAAAAACTAGGACGTTCCCAGTCTTCTTCACCTTCTCACGCCCAGAAAACTAGGCAGTTTCACTTTGCATTTATATAATTACAATGCGTTATATCAAATTACATTTGCGCAAATCTGTCGCAATAACATCGGTGTAAACAGAAAAAAGGCAAGAAATACATTATATTCCTTGTATTCAGTACAGCTACCAATTATGGTTATTACGCTTATCACTCATTTATTGAGGCAATGATTATTTACGCAATGACGAAATGAAAAACATACATTACATTACATTATAATTTTTAAGAGATAGTCATCAACTAAATTGGATTCTTCGGTGTTGTTTTTAAAGCTGTTGTTTCTAATAATGTGGGCATAGGCATGGTCTTGTTTTTTTAGTTTGAGTACTAAAACTAGAGTTTTTATTATATAAACCAACGTCTATATATAGACTCTATACATGAATTGTAAAAGTATATCACACTCATCTCTAAGCTGCACTCACAAACGGTAACTTTATAACGTCACAATATTTATGGTCACCACTTTTCCCAATGCTTTGCTAACATGCAAATTGTCTAGTATTGATTTTCAAAAGAACTTAGAATGGCAATTTTATAAAGACATTACCAATACCAGAAATGCTAAAATTGTGTGTATTGTAATTGTATTGCAATTGTCACTAATTATAATGTTTTTATAGTGCAGTCATGCCAATTTCCATCAGTACTGGTATCAAACCTGTAAAATGGACTATACTTTACAGCCATATATTACTAAATACATATCAAAACATGTATCATTAATTCATTTGCGCTAACCTTATAAGCCTCTTGCAAAAAGTTTTAGGGGGTGGGGGGGGGAGGTACTTCAATACTTGAAAATTGGGCTATTAATTTTTTTAATACTGAACCCTAGGCACAAGCAAAATGCCATTTGGAACCCTGGCCCGTAGCAAGAATCAAACCCACATTCTCAGAGGTGAAAGGTGTTTGCTCTGACGACTGCACAACCGAAGCCCCACTTCGGCATTTAATACAATCTGTTACTTCAATTTAGGGGGGGGGGGGGCAAAACCATCAACAAACATAGCCAATGTTGAAATTGCTAATATCAGCCCTTCGTACTGAATAGATTATTAATAACCTAAGTAATGCATTATGAATAAGTACTATTTAAAACACGAGTAGGAGTGTTTTATCAGATATAAAACGAGAGGCGCAGCCGAGCGTTTTATGTCTGATAAAACACGACAACGAGTGTTTTGAATAGCTTAAACTACAGCTACAAAAGAATACTAATTAGGATGAACAATTATACAAAGAATACTAATGAAGATGAGTTTTATCAGATATAAAGTCACTCCACGTGACATATTATGGCTGACATGATTTGCCACAAGTTTTATTAATTATTAATGAGTATTTTAAGTTATTATATTACACTACCTTTACTCAATGTTTGTTTTGTGAAACCTTTACTATTAGCTATGTCTTTATACTGGAATTGTGGAAATGTTTAGCACCTGACTAGAGTGTCCTTGTTATTGTCACTAGAGTATATCTGTTTCTTATCAATTTATAACCAATGCTGACGACTACATATTTGCTATTAAAGCAACAATAATCAAACCTGGTCCATAAAAGCTTTTTCCCTTTGTAACATCAAAGACTTTGCCACACACTGCAAGCAATACTCTTTCACTCTTTATTCCATCAAATTCGAGAAGTTCTTTTGCAGTAAAATCACGTTTCTTCATCGGTGGCAAAGAAAAACGTCTCTCTCCTTCGAGATCATCTTTCTCGGCCACTCGTGGCTTAAGCAACTTACGAATGATAAACGCACATAATACTATGAACAGAACTTGGACTACAGGAGGAATTGTAGCAACAAATGCAGTAAATTGATTGAAAACATCCATTATTCTATAATTTTCTTAGTACAAAGGTCACACTCTGTACCAAACGAACTTTGTTTCTTCTTGCAACCTCTGTTTGCAACGAACATATGAGCTGATATATGAGCCTAAACATGAGCCTGCAGTCCAGGCACCAATATTGACCGAGCGTGAGGTCTGTACTGTGAAATATCAGACCGAGGTTTTTAATGCAAAAAACAGAGGTCTGATATTTCACAGTACAGACCGAACAATAGGCTCAGATTCCAGCCGTTGTGTTCTCGAGAACACAACGGCTGGAATCTGAGCCTAACCGAACAAGCGAGGTCAATAATCTGTTTATTTAATATATGGCTGAACTGAGTCTGTGAGCATATGCTTTTCGCGCGAATTAAATTTGCTATCGTCAGTTTCACTGGGTAGGCATGCATGCTCAATCAAAAACAATTTGGTTGTTTGAAATTTTTATCTGTAAAGCACAATTGGAAATTTAAAAAGCAAAATTTTTTTCTGTTTGCAAAGCAAAAATTTCCCGCCAGATAAACGACATCCGGGACACCGGTCCAGATACGGAAAATACGGACCACGGTCCGGACTCCGGATATGGGATTTTACGGACCGCTTGTCAACCAATCAGAATAGAGAATTTTGAAAAGCCATATAATAAAAATCTATATTTTATCCTGTGCTCCCTCTGCTATCCTGTGCAACACCTTTGCAACACCTATGCAAAATTTATGCAAAATATTGACCGATTCAAAAACGAGCCACGATAATTTTGCATTATTTTATATTTTATGCATTATCAAGCTAAATAAAGAAAAGATTTAAACAATCCATTGCCCTTTGAAAAGCGCCAAAACGAGGCTAGTCTGGCTTGTATGCTAAATCTAGCACAAACTTCGGTATTTAGTAACATTTTAATAATTTCTCAAATGTAAAACTGTTATAGTCGTGAACTATTCTATAAGGCGGCAGTTATTAGGAACCGGTCATAAAGTAAAGGGGAGGAGGTTTGGAAAATCATATATTTGGTGTCTGCAATTTTGGTAGCCAACCCCCTTAATAGCTGCTCGAAAATTTGTAGCCCACCCTTAAATTGGTGCTGAGAAATTATGACCCACCCTTTCAGAAAGGCGATAAATACCAGCGTTCCATTTTTCTGTTGCCAAATAATTCTGTGTTACAATACTCAATAGCTATTCAAATGGTGTAATTAAATACAGAAAGGTCTTTCTTTGCATGGAACTTCCCATGCATACTACAGTATCTTTAAGCTCATAATTAGAGAACTTTAGTTTGACATTTACGGCTAACACATTTTCTCAAAACATTGTTTTAATGGTACGTTTTGTTATAAATCACATGCTAAGTATAGAAAATTAACCAACATTTGAAAGAAAATATTTACATGATTATTTACATTTGTGATCTTGCAAGGTGCTTTAATTTAATTAACATGCCAATGACAATGTAAAAATTTATTCGCTAAGTGATCGATGATGTTCAGTTGGATTATCCATTGTTTTTGAGCATAATAGTTTAATACGCATTCAAATATTATTGTGCAGCAGGAAATTTCGCACTAAACAATGGTATAAGCTTCTTAAACAACAAAAAATCGACAATGACATTTAAAGAATGCCTGTTGCAAAAAGTTGACCCCCAGTATCCGTCAAAAAGAGTGTATAAAATGCGTATGTTGTGACCATCTATGGTTGTGACATGTACAGTACCAAAACATATATTATTATATTATGACGACAAGTACGTTACATGAGTGTGATTTTTGAGTGTATGATTTGGTACAAGATTTTTTCAGTCCCCCAGCCCGCCCCTAGTGTCTGCCACTGATTAGCCAAGACAGTAAATTCAGCTTTTAAGTTTGAGGTTAATGTTTGCGGTATAAATTTTACAGATGGATCCTGATACATTTTATTTCTATTTTTGTAATATGAATTTTAATACACATGCCCTTGAAAAAAATTCTGCATATTTTTACATGGCCCACCCTTATGATTGCAATTAACTTTCGATGACTCACCGTTCAACCGTGCTCAAAAACAGTGACCCACCCATGACACCTATTTTTCGAATCGGTATAATTTCCTGAGGAATATAAACTCGAGCTAGGTTGGCTGTGAACTATGTGAAATAGAAAGTGTGCTACAGCCACAGCGGTCCAGTGGATTCCTAAATCCCCCATCGTCTATTTCAGCACAGTCAAATCTTATCGGATTTCTGCCCTGCAAGGCCTAGGGGCAGGGGGGGTATTGAAGTGAGGTATTGGGACTCGTGAGCGAATTACAATTGACATTCTTTCAAGTTACAGTCTGCATTGAATTTAATGACAAATATAGGCCGAGTCCATAGACAATCCTGTAGATATTAATCCTGTAAACTGACAACGCCAATTATGCAAAAAGCTGTCATACGTTATATTTTTATCTTTATTTAGGAATAATGTTTACGCCTTTAATATGAAATTATTGAAACCCGTTGAATTTTGTTGCCGATTACAGCTAGAAAGGCATGCCGTATAAAAGACGAAGTGAGGATAGTACATGCACACTGGAACCGATAGCATGACCAGTGGCGCCGTTGGGTCCCATGTTTTTTGTTGTTTTTGGGGTTTGTTTTTTTTTGGGGGGGGGGCAAGGGCAGTACTTTTCCGACAACCAGAACCTCCCAAATGAGATCGGGCGCTATCAAAATATACCCCGTGAAGAATGCTTATGCAAAATCTGCAATTCAGGAGAGGTGGAAAATGAAACCCATCTCAGCTCCTCTCTTGCAAAGTCTATGAGCAATCTCGTGCAAACCGGTACCTTCGAAGTTCATTAGAGAATGCTTCATCTGACGAGATTAATCTAAACTCTCAAACTCTATCAGCGGACCTAATGAAGGCAACTGATAGTGAAATCATAACCAAATTTCAAAATTTGTTTATTCATGTTTCCAACAAAGACTTAATTAAATACCTTGAAACCAGGAATGCGGATTAGCAAAGGTTGCAGGGTTTATTTTAAGAAAAGTTTAGAACTGCACATATTAGGGATGTACGTTACGAAGCATGCATCACGTGTTTGACTGGGGGGTCAAAGGATTTTTATCTACAGTATATTTAACGTTGTAAATTTATAGTTAGCGTTGCAAATTATGATAGACTCTTAATTTGTATATAGGTGGCAGAATAAAGGTGTGGTTGGGTTGGGCCAGACAAACTAGATTCCGGGTGGGGAAGCTACAGGTAGGGGGTGTCCCCCCCAAATTTTGAATTTAGAGGCTCGTAAATTCTGGCAAAGATTTGTTTCACCCAACCACCCACAAAAACTGTTTCAAAACATGTAACTGGGAATCATGAATACTCAATATATAATAACCTTAGGCAGCAAAGAATATTAGGTTCTCCTACTCTATTAATCTCTTTTGGATAGCTTCACTCGCCCCAATTTTACTTCCTGTTCCATTACCCCAGCACGTATGTGATTTGTGAGGAAAATATGAGGGCCTGGTGGTCCTCTCCCAGAAAACATTTAGATTTTTGATGCTCAATGACAGCATTTCTGGCATCTGGAGCATCCACAAGGAAAACGAGTGAATGAGAAGACTGTTTTGAGGTTATATTTTTGTTAATTTGATGACTGCACATTTGAGTTTTAAGAACTGCACATTTGGTGTAGAACTGCACGTTAAAATAAACCCTGAAAGGTTGTAATAACCACCTTATTTGTAAATAGTATACTTGTCTTCTCTCTTTCCTTTTAATTCTTCTTAATATTGTATTAGTCTATTATAAATCATTCCACAAATAGTAATCCTAGTTTATCATAGTTTCTTCTCTATATATTGTTTGTATAATATGCTGAGCAATACGTACTGTAAATTTATGGTCATGCTAATAAAGCTATTAACTATCTTACCTTAACCCCAATGAAAATTTTCTGGACAACAACATTTTAAAGCCCGCCCCCCATTGACAACTTTTTTGGTTAAAACTTTTTCCGGACAATAACATTACAATTGCTTTCGTAGCACTTATCCCGATTTCCATAGCACTCTTTCCGATGCTTCACAACGAAGATTCCGATTCAGGTCTCAACAATAGGGGTGGGGGGAGGGGCATGGCCCCCCCTGCATGCCCCCCCCCCCTCCCGGCGCCACTGAGCATGAAGCAACTGTAGTGTCTTTTTATACAGCTTCGTGCAATGGCAAATGGCAATGATCCATATGTGGGTATGCTCTAAGCAGAAGAAGTAATGCGCACACTGACATCAGCGAAGGCGTCATTATATTTAGACTATTTAATTAGTTCATCCACCCACATTCCCATGATGAACCACCCACATTCCCCGGCCACCAAAATGAAGCACGTCGACAGATAACTACGGACCAGTTTGCCGCTCACAGAAACATCTGTGAGGAATGGGCGGAGGGCTACAACTTCGTTCCCCGAAGGCATTTAGGGCCTGTTCATATGATCCCGCTTACCGGGACGTCTCGCTTACCGAGACGAATATTTCCGTGCGTTCATATGGAGTATTTCGTCCCGCTTGCCGAGATGAAATTACATTGTAGTTCTATAATTAGCGTATGCAAAACTTCTACATTTCAGTCAAGCAACACAAATACTTGGCGATTTTAGTGTTTTTCTTCGTTTATTTACAAGAAAAAGTATTGCTTCAGGTGGTTATTTAATACTTGTTTACAAAACAAACATAAAACCAAGTAAAAAGTGTTAAATTAAACCGGCAAGACTTGTTTCACTTCATCCCGGTAAGCGGGCTGGCGTGTTCATATGGAAAAATTTTCATCCCGCCTACCTATGATCTCGGCAAATTCAAACGTACGAGATCTCGGCAAGCGGGCCAGCTCGCTTTCTCATATGAACACAATGCAAAATTTTATAGGAAAATAGATAGGCGGCGAGATCATCGGTAAGCGAGACGTCCCGGTAAGCGGGATCATATGAACAGGCCTTACTTGTGTGGTTGAAGAACAACATCTTTCCTGGAAAACTTTGAAATTTTAAATTTCATAGAACGAATGAACGTAATAAAAATACAGAGAATTATGTGCTCATTCCACTTGGTTGGCTTAGAACAATTCCGACCACACCTTTTTCGATAATCACGACAAGAAAATATCAACATTAAGATATTAGATATCTTATAACAGATTTTGAATTCTATTTGCAATCCTGGTGAAAAAAAGGTTGTAATATTGTTGTAATGTTAAATGTCCATGTCTCCTTTCGTTAAAGTTTTGAACAATATGTTTTGAATTTCCTTCGAAGGATAAACACGATTGTAATTAATGGTCGAAACTGCCCGAAAAAAGATTAAAAATCTTTCGAATTCGAACGATCGAGGACTCTTCGTCTGAAACTGCGGCCACAACCTAGCTCCGACTATAATCACCGAAGCCCAAGGGTCCACAGTTTATTGTAACTGCAACTCCACGTACCTTCACAGAAACTCCACGTTTGATTTACGCCCCTATGTGTTCTAGAGTTTCCTTTATTGCCTTTGGCCACTGTCATAGGTTACTTTGTTTGACTTTGGAAGTAGAGTAGGCTTAATTGGTGGCACGTGTGTAACACATTTGTGGGTGTGCGTCATTCGAATGTCTTCAATGAGATCATTAGGAAAGTATTCAAGATCATTATCGAAGTATTTTAAACAAATTTTCGGCCATGTACATATACTACGACATAATTTAAAGAGTTATTGATGAAAGCCGTTAGGCTTATTGACCGAGCGTGAGGTCTGTACTGTGAAATATCAGACCGAGGTTTTAAAAGTATGGACCGAGCGACGAAGGAACGAGGTCCATGCAAAAAGTAGAGGTCTGATATTTCACAGTACAGACCGAACAAGCGAGGTCAATAATCGGTTTATTATATAGCTGAACTGAGTCTGTGAGCATATGCTTTTCGCGCGAATTAAATCGGCTATCGTTAGTTTCATTGGGTAACAATATATGGTAGGCATTCATGCTCAATCGAAAACAATTTGGTTGTTTGAAATTTTTATCTGTAAATTTTAATGACACACAATTGGAAAATTAAAAAGCAAAAATTTTTTCTGTTTGCAAAGCGAAAATTTCCTGCCAGATAAACGACATCTGGGACACCGGTCCAGATACGGACCGGATTTGAGTTTATACGGACCGCTTGTCAACCAATCAGATAGAGAATTTTGAAAAGCCATATTATTATACGCTTTATTGCATATTATCCGGCACTGAGGATTTATATTCTCAGTTAAGCAATCTTGTATCAAGAAATTTTAATTAAGGGCCTTCATCGCTTAATAGCTTTGGGGGCTTTTTAGAGCTGGAGACCCGGCGCAAAATGCCCACCTCCGCTCGGCGGCACTGCGTACGGTACTGATGGACCCCACTAGAAAAAATACGGTGATTTAAAAATAAAGAAAATAATGCCACAACATGTGGACATGACGGTGAAATTTGTTAAGAAACATCCAGAGCATGTAACACGGTCCTAACTGAGATTTCAATCTGATTGAAGACATCCAAGAGACGCGAAGAGAAAAGTATCGCAAATACAGATCAGAGACAGAAAACTGTACCACAGCACTTGAATAAGTTGCATTCACAGATTAAAAAAAAGCAATTTGCAATGCATATTTCAATACAGTTTGGATAAAAATATTATACATATATACTATAGGCATACATTAGCTATTCTCACGCAAGCATATCACATATACTTAGGCACAGCTGTTCAATACGCGTCCGTGTTTACATTTGTTTAACAATAATTTATATACAATGGGATGTATATTTTATATCTTGGCACATTGCTGGCTTCGATCCTCCTCAACAGCAGCGCAAGTTCATACAGGGGCTGATCCTATGGCCTGGGTTGTTTACAGCTTCAACACTCGAATTTTCACTAGGGAAGACAAGCAGGGAAGATAAGTCTTCAGTAGCGTAACAAACTATACACTTGATCCCCACAGCTCGACAAGTCACTCAATCTATGATGTGGTCTACACCCAAATTGTTACTATATCTGTCCCACATCTTGGCATAAACGGTCTCCATGTCGTGCGCGTATTGTCTGATGTTGAACAAAGGACTCTCCAGTCTGCCTTTCCATACACGTTTCTTTATGTCAGTGTAACTTGAAAATAAAACAGAATCACAATGAGACATGTTATTTAATTATTGTAACGGTGTCCAGATTACCGTTGTCATTTCAACACGGTTAGAGTGAGTCAGAGACAGTGGCGGACACTGGGGGGGGGAGAATTTTGAAATACCTATAAAAGTCTGGTACCAAATCCAATCACAAGCATGCAGTCACACCCATATAATGTAATTGTCACATTGAATAACTATTAAATAAAAGTTAGCAATATAGAAAGCAATATATGATTCTGTACAATGCATGCCAATGATGCCACAACGTACGCATTTTATGCAATCAGTTTTGTTCTGTGTTCCTTACAGCTCTGCTGATAAAATATTTTAAACAATCGGAATTGATATTTATAATTAAACAACAACGCTAATCGACATGATTTTCTTAGAAAAGGCATCTGTCACAACTCGGGACACTTTATTCATTTCATCAAGTGACCCATATGTTCTGAGAGATTCGCATAACATATAGAGCCTTTAACGGATACCGAAACCCCTGGCATACATGTTGAAAAATTCGCCCCCTCCCCCCCCAACATTTCGTGAAGTGTCCGCCACTGGTCAGACGACAATGAAGCCGAGAACAAGATGATCGAGTAAATTAAAGGCAAGACAACTAAACTTCGATACTTGCTCCACCAAAACATCAATAGAGCGATAACTTTGGATTCGGTAATTTAAAATTTATTGCTAAGTTCGCAATTAGTAACATTTTACCATAACATTGGGCAGAAACAATCATCGTCCCTAAACGATACAGAAAATATAAACAATTGACGAGAAAACTTATTAGACTTACTAATCACTGTCAGTTCCAAGTCTGATGGCGATTTTTTCGTAATCTTCTCTTGATTTAGCAGCAAGTTCTGGAACTCGTAAAGCATGAAGTTGTGACGCTGCTACACGAGATGCTAAAGTATCAAGTGGTAACGTTACCATTGGACAGCCAGCCCAGAGTACATCCATGCCAGTTGTATGACCATTACAGAGTGGTGTATCCAGACATACATCTGCTAATTGTCCTCTCCGAACGTGCTCTTCTTTTGGAGCGACTGGTGAAAAGACAACACGATCCGCGGGCAGACCAAGGGCTTGCACATGTGCTTTGATGTTGGGCTCACCAACAGCTGGAAAGCGCAGTAACCACAAAACACTGTTTGGCACTTGTTTCAAAATATTCACCCAGCTCTTGAGAGTGACAGGATCAATCTTGTAGAGTTGATTGAAGTTACAGTAGACAAAACAGTCTTCAGGTAAACCATACTGAGATCGTGAAGTAGTTGGCCACACTGAAGGAACTCGTTCACCGCTATCTTTACTGCCAACATAATCTCGACTCTTCCAATCCACCAACTTCGCAACCTTATCATGAAGATTCACGTCAACTTCTGGTACAAACTTGAACTTGTGTGGGGATTGCGAGCCATGGGAAGTGGACTGAGGATTAGCTTGATTTTCACCAGAAGTGCGCAAATGTTGCATGAGATGAGGGAACATCTGCTTGTGGTCACCGACAAAGAATGTGTTGGGCATGTACGCAAACTTCTCGGAGTACGAATTGCAGTGCACTAGTGGCGAGGTTATACGATCTGTCAGGATGTAATCCATATATGGCGCGCCACTTGTACCAGGATAACCTAACCACATGACCTGGAAAACAACGAGAACTTTAACTATGGAACGTAGGTTATATGATATAGGTGTGCGACCTCCCAGCACGCATTCACAATGCATGGATAACGTGAGGAAATGCCATTGCGGAAAATGACTATGGGAGAACATAAGGAGTTTGGTATTAAACTAAAGATTATGAGATTGAATAAATACATTGTAGTTGACATTTGATTCTCAATTATTTCTTTTTTTAAGGGAAACTGGTACTTCAAGCATACTGATTATAGCGAGCATATATTAGCCGAGTTCGCATTAGAGACGGGATACTCGTCTATCAAAACCCGCCTGGATATAATGTTGGGAACGGAAATCCGTCTCAAATATTGTGTAGGTTTTATATATAATTTTATACGTTTATCTCGATAATTTCAGTTCCAATTTTCCCTTGCTTGGCAACACTTTATCCGTCTCATCTTGGCAACGCTTTATCTGTCTCGTCTAGACGGGGTTCCAGTCTGTTTAGACTGAAAAATTGAGACGTCAAACTCGTCTGTTACCGGATGTATATTAGATGAGTTTCCCGTCACTAATGTGATTTCGGCTATTGATTAGCTGACCTCGGTAATAGGCAATTTCTGCGATCTAAATCATACTTGAGGGGTATCATTCGTATTATATACCTGAATTGGACTTGGTTTCAGGGCGAATATTTCGTTTCTTGCTCCCTTGGTGTAACCATTCATGTTAATCAAAATATGAATGCCGTCAGCGTTGATGCGGTCAGCTGCCGCTCCATGACATGGTATCTGAGATAAGTCAATAAAATGATCTGCCTCACGAGATATTTTCTTAAAGAAACTTGTGTTGTCATCACCAGTGAGTGTGTAGCAGAATGTCTAGTGAAACAAAACAACCCATTCTCAATGAGTTTGTCAAGAAACTTTCTTGACTTTCTTCAATTTATACTTATAACTTACCTCCACCTTTGATCTATCGTGAAAACCTGGAATACTCTGCATAAGATGAGATGTTGGATGATTACCAAAGTCACTGGAAACATAACCAATTCTTAAGCGACCATCACTGTTCTGTAAATCCTTTGGATGTTTATACGGTTGCTTTTTCAGAAGTGCCACCTGATATGAAAGGAACGAGTAGTCAATTAAACAGTTGAGAAGTTCACATTTGATTTCTGCTACCGCCACCATTAACCAATCAGATGCATTTAATCTACCCGATTAACCAATCAGATGCATGCAATGAGAGGTAGCAATAGCGGAGGTTAAATCTCAACAATGTTTTTTTAACGTTGTTTTGGTATTTTCCACCATGTACATGTAACATCGCGCAATAAACATGGTGGTAGACAACAAAAATTCTACAGTATATTTCAGTCATTCGGCCCATGAGAAAAGTGAAGCCAAGATGGCGAATTTGACGTCCAAAACCAATCCAGGTCATTCCAGTTTTTTTCTAACGGACCGTTTAAAAAGTGCCCAAATTAAGAAATGAACCAAATAGCTAAAAAGACCACCTCAAAATTAGTAAGTATACAAAGTTTGAAGACGTTTACATGAATACCATTCGAATAATAAGCTTTCGAAAATTGTGAAATTACTGATTAAGAGATTGTTTTGGGGACGCGCGTCCCAAAAACAAAAATTACAGTACATTTCATGGTAAATATCGCGATTTTCGAAAGCCTATTATTCGAAGGATATTCATGTAAACGTCTTCAAACTTTGTATACTTACTAATTTTGAGGTGGTCTTTTTAGTGATTTGGTTCATTTCTTAATTTGGGCACTTTTTAACATTCGTCCCCAGTCCACTCATCAACTTCGGAATGGCTAATAGTTTCAGTTCAAAATACAAAATTTTAGCACACTCCTGGCAGCTTTGTGTTCGACCGCGCAGAAAAACAATAGAAAGGGACTGAGTTGACGTCCAATAGCTTTTCAATTTCCGCCATCTTTGGCTTCACTTTTGGGACTCGAGTTCTCGCTCCAGATATATATCGAGCTCACTGCCTAAAAACGAACATCACTCTAGAGGCTGAAGTGAGAATTCGAGTAAAGTTTGAGGATAAGGTTTATAGATAAACAAGGAGAAATTTCCTTCTCGATCAATCAATGCATTTGTTGACATTTCCGCTCTAGGCCAATCAGAATGCGTAATTGGTTACTACTTCCGGTAAAAACACACATTTGAACAGAAAATATAGGGTCTTAAATAAAGCTTCGAGGGGGATCAGGATTTTAAAATTTTTTTATTGGATTTAACCATAGGATTTAACGTGACAAGGTAAATTAAGAAATTTTCTAAAAATTCGGCGTTGGGATTTGCGTTTTATTGCCTAGTTTTAAAGTTATCGGCATTCGAACAGCGGCGAAAAGCGCGTAAGTTCGAATGCCGATAATTTTAGAATTAGGTAACAAAACGCAAATCCCAGCGGCAAATTTTTGGAAATTTCTTATTTTACCTTGTCACGTTAAATCCAATAAAAAAATTAAAAATCCTGATCCCCTCGAAGTTTTATTTAAGACCCTATATTTTCTGTTCAAATGTGTGTGTTTACCGGAAGTAGTCACCAATTACGCATTCTGATTGGCCTAGAGCGAAAATGTCAACAAATGCATTGATTGGTCGATAACGAAATTCCTCCTTGTTGGTTAGATAACTAGGATAAAAGGTAGAGATAAGCCCCTGGACAAATGTACCTTCTCAATGCACAAGTTTCCATGTCTATTAGCAATCTTCCTACGTGCTTCCTTGGTCAGTGGGTACAGCATACTATGATGAGGATGCACGGACGGAAGGCGGTTTTTCTCTAACTGATCATTTACGATTTCTATCAATTTCGTCATTCTTGTATCATAATCACTCCAATCACAAATGATCTACATAGGAATAAGTATACAACAGTTTCCTAGTGGCACTTTTCCCTATATAAATTACTGTACGAATTTAATGGATCTTCACACATCATAAACGCATGCTGAGCGATGTGATTTTATTTAAATTGAAGTTTGGTATAGATTGGGTCGAAACTGTATTATAAATGAACCATATAATATCACCACTCGGCACTTCTCTTGCACAAATGAAAAAAATCTTGAAAAAATCCGTGAACCTTTTCAAGTTTGACGCTGACTAAATCACATCGCTCAGGGCTTGAAATTTGGAAGTATCACTAACAGCACTATCCAATTGAATATGTGCAACTTTAAATCTGATATCCAGCCAGAAAATCTAGTTTATTTTATTTATTTGAACTTAACTTAATCTTTTCAAGTACTTAGTAGAAAAAAAATAGGTGCTATTTATTTATATTTTTATCATGGCCAAATAACAGACTTGCTGGAAAATAGAGATATGCAAGACATAGTTGACGATAGAGAATGTTTCTTCTTAACTTACAAACAAATATGACAAAATCTTGAAAATGTATAACAGGGAAATATCTGGCGAGAATAGAACTGTAATGCCCAGTATCCAAATATTAAATTTGAATAAATAAAAAAAAATTTAAAAATCTGGTATCCATGCATGTATATTGCATTGATATTAGAATACTGCAGATGTGAAACTCTGCTTTCATATTGTGCATATCATACTGATTATAATTGTCTTTATTGAACTTATTGTAACAATTACATTACAAAATAATATTTTCTATGTTCTACAATTGTAGTATATACAAACCTGCAAACAGTGAGCCAAGTTACAATAAGCATCAGGAAAATCTGGTTTGAGTTTCAGAGCCGTTTTATATGACTGGATAGCTTCGGATATGTTGCCTGCATCCTGTGGTTAGATAATTATTATGAAATATGTATCTATACTGTATATATCATGGAATATGTCTATCTATCTTACCTTGTGAACTGATGCTAGGTTACTGTGGGCATCAGCAAATGCTGGATTAATCTGAATAGCACGACTATAACAGTTAATGGCTCCTTGAACGTCCTGCATTTCCTTGAGTGTGTTGCCCATGTTGGAGTAAGCATCTGCAAATGTTGGATGTATTCTAAAGGAAAAATGGCCATATTTTTTGATAAGGTACACTGGAGATGAATCGATAAAAAATGCCAATTACTGAGACTGATGATTTATACGCCGATCATCGTTAGGTTGCTAGTCACCAATCTCATACAGATTGTATAATAACCTGCTGCAAGGTATTTATTGAAGTTTTAGTTAAATATCATTAGAGAGTTTAAGATCTACGACGCGGCCAGCTCAACGACGCTTGGGAAAGAAATAAATTTGTCATGCAAGACAAAAACTGTGAATAATTTGTGGTCCCAAGGGGTATTCTCAACGGCTTTGTCATGCTCAGCACAACGTTAAACAAAGCATTATCACGTCTTTGAAGCAACGTGAAAGCTTAACCCAAAAGGTCAGTGTTACTTAAAGTCGAAATTAGCAGTTTGTAATGTTATTTGAAAAATCTTCAAACATTTATTACAGTAATGAAATTGCTTGGCGTTCATTCTTGAGCTGAAATTCAGAGCGAGTCGTTGAGCCGGCCGCGTCATGGATCTTAAGGTCCAGACACACCGGACGCAATTCGACAACGCGACGCGATTTTTTAGTTTTTGAAAGTTAATAAATTTGCCAATGAGAGGAAATTTTAAAAAATATGTAGACCAAATAACTCAAAATGTTATAGCGCTTCTAAATATTTGGAAAATTTAAACTAGGATCAAAGTTATCGGTCAGTGAAAATCGAAAAATCGCGTCGCGTTGTCGAATCGCGTCCGGTGTGTCTGGACCTTTAAGCTCTCTAGTGTTAACATCGCGCGAATAAAGTAAAAAGAAAACTCCAAAAGGTAAAAAGAAAACTCCAAAAGGTACCTTTATTAAAAAGTTACATTTCAATAGTATACTGATTAGTATACTGTATGTTTCACAAATCAAACCAAATGGTTCTGACATTACCTGATTGCTTCTTTGTAGTGCATGAGTGCATCTTGAAGTTTCCCTTGTTGTTGTAATATACTGGCAAGATTTGAGTGAGCAGCAGCAAACTCAGGAAAAACCTAAATTATTTAAAAATACACATTTTTTTAAAAAATACTCGTTTTTTTCATTATAAAATATCATATTGTACATAAAAAACATTGCCACTTACTGTTTCATCACGTAAATTTGAAATGGTAAATTTTAAACATTTAGCAACCACACATAATTTATTGTACCTGTACCTCAAGGGCTTTGCAATACAATTTGATTGCTTCTTCCATAAAACCTTGTTCACGTTTGATATTTGCAAGATTGTTTAATGAATCTGCATGAGATGGATTTAGTCGAAGAGCAATGTTATAACAATCTTCTGCTTCATCAGTCTATAATTAGAAAAATATGCATTATGTATAAAGAAGAAATTCAGAATTAGAATTGAATATGATTTTCTGTAAAGATTCATTTAAATTACCTTTCCCTGTTCTTTCAATGCATTTGCAAGATTGCAATAAGCATCAGGAAAGTTAGGTTGCAACTCAATAGCTCTGCGATACGTGTCAACAGCCAAATCAGAAAGACTACAAAATACAAATGGATATTCAACTGTTAATTAACATACACCTTTTAAAAAAATATTTGCTGGGCAATAAAGTAATACTATTTTTAAATATTCATTGTTTACCTCACACAAATGAACCAAGTTTTCAAATCAAGGAATACATTTTCTTACCCTTGTTCATAATAAACACAAGCCAAGTTTCCATGTACTACAGCATTGTTTGGACTCAATTGTAAAGCTCGGAGATATGCACCAACAGCCCTATAATACACATGCAAGAAACATTTTATGAACTTACCTAATACAGGTACAAACACATTTTAAGGGTACATTTAAATAAAAAGGAAGGAGAGGATTAAGAAAACGTTGATGCTTAACCATTTGCTGGTCCGACAGAGCAACCCAATAGGGAGAGGCCCTCATTTACAATTTGTCAATCCACAAGCAATTATGGTATCTTCTTTCTCATTTATACAGTATGTTTAATAGTTTACCTGTCAAATATCCTTGCTTCTTTCAAGACATTACCAAGGTTAATGTAAGAATCAAGAAAGGATGGGTCGAGTTGCACAGCCTAAAGATCATCATTAAATCACATGTAAGATTTCACAAAACTTCTCATTGTGAAGCACGTGGATCCAGAGACTGGGGCCATGTTGTGCAATTACTCTAATGAAATTACTGTACACCCATTTGGACCTGATGGTGAAACATAGCCAATTGGAATTTTGCACAATAGTGTCTTCTGTGGATAACTCAAGTGTATTAAAAAAAATTGATAACCAACAATCACTCAGCATTGAACAGTAATTTTCGCAAAAATTACGTCATTTGTACATTGATGTACATATGTATATCTATAAATATGGATGTACATATACAATACAGGTAGCAAGTAACGGGCATTGCATAAACGTTAGAATGTTAGGGTTTGTAATCCAAGTGAGAATATATACATTTTAAGACCTAACCAGGAACGACGGCGAAAAATGCAGCACAACTGCACAATGGTTCAAATAATCAAAATGGAATAAATTATCAAATCTATGAAAAAGTTTGCAACAAAAAATGAATACTAATGAGCTATTTATTCTTAACTGTCTGGTGATGGCTAAATTTCTCATCATAAATATGCATAAGGCAAGGAGGGAGAGACACTACCTTTTCAAAATGATGGATGGCCAACCAAATTTCTCCTTGAGCATTAAAAACACACCCCAGGTTGCTCCAAGCAACAGCAAAGTTTGGCTGAGTTTCAATTGCTTTCAGATAACATGCCTAGTTTTGACCAAGTGGCAAATAGCAAGAAACGGAAAGCAAGAGCAAGCAATGCAAAGCAAAACAAAAAGCAAAGCAAAGCAAATAAGCAAAAGATGCAGCAGGAAGCAGAAAGAACATAATGGTTTTCATTTCATTCAAATAACTTTATGAATTCAAGTGTGAAGTACTTTGCTAGGCTGCTATAAATGCATGGACGTTTTTGTTCGTTTTCCATACAAAAACAGCAAAATAACGTTGTAACCTCACACCCAAATTCAACACTGGGGCATCATACCACTTGCTTCTTTAGATGTCTTAAAAAGACTGCAGTGCACAGTGTAATGCTTCATAAATGCTTTTGCTTTTATAGGAACTGTCCAAAATTCAAATAATTATAAATAATTTTTTCTCTTAGGGGTTGCAATACATTGATAACTGCATCAAAGAAACAAGCAACATGTTGAATTTGAACCGGACTTGAAATAAGGACAACCACTGCTCAAATGCAATGTGAATAGTAGATGTTGTCTTTTCAAGGTGGGGGTTTTGTTTAGAGTAAAAATGAGAATGCTTATAACCTTTGCTTTGTTAGCTTGTCGGAAGATTTCTGTCACGACTCAAAATCTGTATTAATTTAAGCTGCCTCAAAAGGAAGGTAGCATGGTAATAAGGAAAAGCATGCAAAAAAATATACAGGTGAACTTAATAAACAACAATCCACAAAGTTGTCTAGCATTCCCATTTTTATTGTAAACAAGAAAACCAAAAACGGGCATGGCAAAGGAATGGGAGCAGCAAGAAGAAAAAAGCCAAGTTGGTCTTTCTCAGCCACGTTCATCAGCCCCGCGTTCATTGTGGATATCTTCTGTATCATCCAAGATGCCGTAATAACACTCACCATGGCACTAATAACTGCTTGTAGAAAGAAAGGTGGAAAAGGAGATATTTTTAAGTCAGTGACGTTGTTTTGAAATTTGGCAGGGCAGTTTTACATGTCAGCAAAATGTATGAGAAAACTCCACCAATGCTCTGATTTTTCAAACAATTTACAAAAATAATGAAGAAATCAAAACCAGATGAACTCTGATTGTAAGCTAATACTTTGTTTCAAAGGCATTGTTGGGAGACTTCTGAAAAACTGACAAAGAACACACAATAACTATACAATTACAACTAACAATACAGTAACTACATTACAACAGCGAAAGTTGGCCTGCCCAATGGGAATATTTCCTCACAGGTTTCAGAATCACTTGGTGATACATAATGTTGAATAAACATACTATTATTGGTGGAGAGCTTTTACAGTAATGGGACTGCCAAATTTTTTAAACTAGTTTATAAAGTATCTCAAAGTTTTAAACCTTGTGGGAAATTAACATGCTATTTGGTAAACCAACTTTAGCTCACTAAAACATGTTCTATGTGAACAGAATGTTTCCAAAATGTACTAGACTTTTTAAGGGATTTTGTTCACAGAACATGATATTATAATTTGGTAGAATTCATACAATACCAGTATCCAGCCAATGGAAAATTACCTTTGCTTCTTCCAGCCTTCCGAGAGCTTTCAAAAGATTACCCAAATCACTCCGAACACAGAAAAGATCCTGTCAAATAAAATTGTTGTGTAAATTCTTCATTACAGACATCACACTTCAGATTAGATTTTGTAGTTTACTAGTTTTATTCAATTGCAGTTCAAACATTTCAAAGGGCAAAAAAGTTTTGAACTTTCTTCTTTTGTTTAGGTTTGTTAGGCATGAAGAAGTGAATTTGTAATAATTAATAGAAAAGGTCAATGCTTCCAAGTTGCATAGATACAAAGAGTTAAAATACTATTACAGATGTTACACTCATACTGAGGGCAAGTTTGTGGGGCTTCGGTGGTCAAGTGGTTAGCACACTTGCCTTTCACCCCTGAGGCCGCGGGTTCAAGCCTCAGTGAGTACTTTCTCAATGCGACTTGAACCCAGTCCTCATGTGAAAAGAGTAAAAGTCAACGCTCTGCTGAAAGTCGTGGGTTTTCCCCGGGTACTCCGGTTTCCTCCAACAGGGAAAGTTGACAGGGTTGGGGTTAGGTAAAAGGGCCCACAGTAATTGGCACATGCTGTTATCGTGACCCTGTCTTAGTTGGCAAAGCTAAAATAAATAAATAAATGTTTCTGTTTGACAACTTGGTAGTTACATATAAGGTTTCTAATAGTATTGTCTAATCAGGCAGTGGCGTAGCCAGCCCGACGATTTGGTCCCGCTATGGTATATGTATTCACTCAGATTTGTTCATTTTAGTCAAAACGAACAAATCTGGGTGAATATAAGTATGTTTAATCAAATACTTATGATCTTCTTTTTACTGAAAATTGATCTTGATGTTGTATGCGTCCATATATTCCCAATGCAAGCAAACAAAAATCTATCACATGTTAAAATAATCAGTGTTGTAACATGTTGTAACAGTATTCAAATGCAACAAACTATATGAAATATCTTCGATTAATAGTAAACGTTTTATGCTATCTGGTATATGTATTCACTCAGATTTGTTCATTTTAGTCAAAACGAACAAATCTGGGTGAATATAAGTATGTTTAAATCAAATACTTATGATCTTCTTTTTACTGAAAATATGATCTTGATGTTGTATGCGTGCCATATATTCCCAATGGCAAGCAAACAAAAATACCTATCACATGTTAAAATAATCAGTGTTGTAACAGTTACAGTATTCAAATGCAACAAACTATATGAAATATCTTCGATTAATAGTAAACGTTTTATGCTATCTGGTATATGTATTCACTCAGATTTGTTCATTTTAGTCAAAACGAACAAATCTGGGTGAATATAAGTATGTTTAAATCAAATACTTATGATCTTCTTTTTACTGAAAATATGATCTTGATGTTGTATGCGTGCCATATATTCCCAATGGCAAGCAAACAAAAATACCTATCACATGTTAAAATAATCAGTGTTGTAACAGTTACAGTATTCAAATGCAACAAACTATATGAAATATCTTCGATTAATAGTAAACGTTTTATGCTATCTGGTATATGTATTCACTCAGATTTGTTCATTTTAGTCAAAACGAACAAATCTGGGTGAATATAAGTATGTTTAAATCAAATACTTATGATCTTCTTTTTACTGAAAATATGATCTTGATGTTGTATGCGTGCCATATATTCCCAATGGCAAGCAAACAAAAATACCTATCACATGTTAAAATAATCAGTGTTGTAACAGTTACAGTATTCAAATGCAACAAACTATATGAAATATCTTCGATTAATAGTAAACGTTTTATGCTATCTGGTATATGTATTCACTCAGATTTGTTCATTTTAGTCAAAACGAACAAATCTGGGTGAATATAAGTATGTTTAAATCAAATACTTATGATCTTCTTTTTACTGAAAATATGATCTTGATGTTGTATGCGTGCCATATATTCCCAATGGCAAGCAAACAAAAATACCTATCACATGTTAAAATAATCAGTGTTGTAACAGTTACAGTTTATTTGTAACTAGTTACAGTTACATTACCAAAAACATAACTAGTTACCGATACAAGTTACAGATGCCAAAGTGTAACTAGTTACAGTTACAATATATTTTTTGTAACTTAGTTACAAAGTTACAAGTTACATTTATTGATTGCAATTAAGAACGCATATAATTCGAATGGTAATGAAACTTGCTGCAAAATTATTGGCAAAATTAATAACTATTTACTAGATGTATCTGCGTGTATCTGTAAAAAACCAAATCGATTTCTTAATAGAATTGTCAATTAAAAAAACTCTCGACTGCTATTATACAGTCTGAACGAATAGATTGAAAAATTTAAAAAAATGTATCTGCGTGTATCTGTAAAAAAATAAATCGATTTCTTAATAGAATTGTCAATTAAAAAAACTCTCGACTGCTATTATACAGTCTGAACGAATAGATTGAAAAATTTAAAAAATATCCCTCACTGGCTAGTGGCTTCTGACTTCGCAATGAAAAAGCAGAAACGTGATCATGACTGCGTAGTTGCCAACTCTCACGGATCCACCGTATAAGCATCACGGATTTTACTAAAACCTCACGGTGAGCTCACAGACATAGGTTGTTAATATCTCACGGACTCTCATGGATTTCGAAAATAACCCAACTGGTTCTTAAATATGTTGGCTTTGTTGCACATTTTAACTATTAAAAGTGATTTTATTTGCGTCAAATTACATAAAACTTCTTTCTTGTAAAAATATTCACGCTATTAAGGGAAGCTTCACATATCAATTTTGTCCATGAGAATCGTCATTGAATTGTTGAATTGAATTGAATTTATTAAAAAATCTGAATGGCAGCTAAGAGCTGAATTGTACAGAGTTAACATTTAAAATACAAGGTAAAACTAATACATATAGTAATATACGGTATATTAACACTAAAATTTATATTACAATTAAAATGAATCATTATATGATACGATGCTAGAAGGAATAAAACTTTTACTAAATCTTGTAGTCTTACAATTAATTAAGTTAATATGCTGATCATTACGTAGATTGTAAGTACGTAAGTCCTCGTGTTTATTAGGGATAAGTTCATTCAATTTATTTTCCGGGTTGAGAAGTTTCTTAAAATACGATTTACATAAATTATTTCGTCTTTGAGAGAGCAACGATATTTCATAAACTTCCAAGGCTTTGCGGTATGACAGGTCAGGACATATTATTCGTAGGGCTCGCTTCTGAATTCTTTCGATTTCTTCCTTTAAATAGTCAGGGGAGTTTAAGTTCCAAACCTGGCATGCATATTCAAGCACAGGTCGTATACATGTGGTATAGACTGAATTAGAGAACTCCCTCCAAGACCGCTGCGTTTAAGCACTCGGAGAAAAAAAGTCTCTTTGATGCCTTGTATACTATGTGTTCAACATGTAAGTTCCAACTAAGATCAGAAGAAAAGTACAGACCAAGAACCTTTGCTGATAAAACTGGGGACATAGCTACAGTGATCTTTAATAAACAATGGTCGAAGATTAGGGACGTCCTTAGCGAACGAGATAATTAGCTCTTTGCATTTAGAACGATTAAGCATCATATCATTTTCCGTGCACCATTGATCGATATTATTAATAACGGATTGCAGGTTACTTTGACAACCTTTACCGATTGTTTCGGAGAGACTAGTGTCGTCAACATATTTCCATCTATCTTTGTGGTTAATAGCCAAATCGTTGACCATGATGAGGAAAAGTAATGGGCCAAGGATTGTACCTTGCGGGACGCCTCCATTTACCAAGGACCAATCAGAGAACGAAGAACCCAATTTCACCCTCTGTCTTCTTTGCATCAGGAAATCAACAACCCAGTTTATTAAGGATTTATCAATATTTAGTAACTGCATCTTTTTTATCAGGATTTTGTGGTTGATTCTGTCGAATACTTTACTAAAGTCAAGCAGAAAAACACGAACAGTCTCGCCATTGCCGTCTGTGTTAGAATACCAACAGTGGAACATGCTAATTAATGCGTCTATCGTAGAAGAGCCTTTTAACGATCCGAATTGCTTTGGGTCCAACTGAGACTTAATGGTATCCATAATCCATTGAAATGGAAATGATTCAAGAACCTTTGAGAGCGCGGCGGTCAGAGATATAGGTCGCAGGTCTGAAGATATATCCGTGACCGAGGATGTCTTAGGGACGGGAACGACATTTGCTTCTTTCCACTGCATTGGAACTTGTGCTTGTTTAATGGAGGCATTAAAAATCATTGTCACAGGTTCTGAAATCTCCATTGAAAAGTTATTGAGAATCCAATTTGGCAGAGAGTCTGGACCAGGAGCTTTATTCGATTTAACTGCTTTTAAACGCGATTCGACATCAACAACGGAGATAGGGTACAAAACAGTAGGTTCTTCCACAGATAATTTGTCAGTAATTGAAAGCGGCGGTAACGATTTAGTGGCGGCTAAAAACCCGTTATTAACAGCGAGTGCTAAGCCTCGTCCCTGCAAGATAGTTCCATTTACCTCTACAGAATGGAAGGCAGGCTTTAAAGAAAAGCCAGCTAGGTTTTTAATAGCACTCCACCATTTCCTTGGCTTTGACTTTTTTAGATGATTCACTTGAGACTCGAAGTATTTAGACTTTGCCTGTTTCACGACGTGAATTACTTTATTTCGCAATTTGTTGTATTCAATTGTATTTCCCAAGGCAAAGGCCTTTTGTCGTTGGGAGATGAGGAGTTTGATTTCAGGGGTAATCCACGCTTTGTCTCTACAGTGAAGTTTAACAGATTTTTGGGGGAAAATTGTATCCAAACCCATGAGAATAATGTCATAAAACAGGTCACACATTTTTTGACAATCGGGTAGCTGCGAAAGTACATTCCAGTTAAGATCCAAAAGAAATCGACCAAATGCCTGCATATTTGATTGCTTCCGCTTTCTGACCCAGACTTTGGTAATGGTATTAGGGCGGTGATTGTTACTAACGGGGTGTAACAGGACTGACATGTGATCCGATTGTCCAATAGCAGGGAGTATTTCAGGGTCATTGTAACAACGTTTCATATTAGTAAATATTAAATCTAAAGTTGCATTCCCACGGGTAGGTTTCTTTACAATTTGTTTAAGTGACGTGTTTCTGCAAAGGCGTTTGGAGTCGAACTGGTTAAAGTCACCCATAACAATTACACCTGCTGTTGGTCATATGGACGTTTCTCTGGAGACAACCCCCCCCCTTAGAAACGTCACACATTGTTATCGATATTTTGTTCATAGTACACATAAGGTAATTTACTACTATTTTCTATGGTCGGCTATTGGCGATGCTTCCGCTGACACGTTTTTTATTAACATATATATATGAACTTCAAAATTTCCAACGTTACTCAAAACATCTATTTTGGATGAAATATTGACAATTTTAGCGCGTTTTTCTTGAAATTTGAGTGTTTTCAATGCAAGGAAGGCGTAACAATATAAATGTATAGAACAGGCGTTTGTATCAAGTTGTTTTCTTTTTTATATTCTGCAAAGATGATTAAAAACTATCGAATCCTTCCATGGTGTTCTACAGAGGAACGTCACAGCTGCAAACCCCCTGGCCCCCACCCCAAACGAACATATGACGTTTCTCGTGGACAAAATCGATATGAGGCTTCCCTAAGCCAAAAATAGATAATGAAAACATCGCATACTTGTGGGTATTCAACAATATGGTTTTGTACTTATAATAAAAGCTACCAAAACTTGTGTGTATAAAACATCGCATACTTGTGGGTATTCAACAATATGGTTTTGTACTTATAATAAAAGCTACCAAAACTTGTGTGTATATATAAGGCATAGAAGCTGAAAATGTCATTTCCAACGATCTGGAGACTCCATATTTTCAAAATCTCCCCGCTCGGCGATAACCGTGGTGGCGCATCGTGGGCCTCCCCAAAGCAAAATCTCACGGATGTTTTTTTCCCAAGTTGGCAACTATGTGACTGGGCCAAGGCCAAGTGAAATGAGACCAAAGACCAATTGTGACGAGACCAAGTAAGGCGAGCGACGGCATTCCGATCAGTTCCTACTGTACGTAAACGTCTTGAAATCCTTGACTTAAATTTGTGTCTTGAACAGATTCTGTTGTGTCTGATTAAATTACTCCTGTGCAGATGATTAAGAGCTTGCCTGACTGTGACTATTGATTTATTTCATTTTAACAACGTACACAAAAAGCAACGAAAAAAATGTAACTTGTAACTTTGGCAAAATAACTTGTAATCGTTTCAATTTTATGGCATTTTTTGTAACTAGTTACGGTTACAGTTACACGTTCTCAAAATGTAACGAGTTACCGTTACCGAAAAACGTAAGGATTACTTGTAACTAGTTACTTTTAACGAAGTTACTTGTAGAGCACTGAAAATAAATAACACTTTACTGCAATAGTCTTCCTAGGAGTATGTATTTTAATTAAAAAGACTATCACATTAGCAAATCATGTTTTACTCAATTTATTTAAGAATATTTAAATTGCACTTTAGGGAATGGACATAATAAAGCTTAATGGGTTAATAATAAACTTAATGGGCATTAATGATGAGAAAACTTATTAACCCAGATTAATGAGTTAAACACAGATTAATGGGTTAACTCATTAATGCCCATCGCTTTCCCTGTACCAAATATCAAATTAGGATGCATTGCAGGCCCATTGAGTCGCATTGTGCCCTGATGTGCCCTAATTTAATATTTTACTCTGTCTAACGCCACACAATTTTAAACGTTGTTAACTGGCCTATCTGCCTATGTGTCTAGTCAACCCATTGAGTCACATTGCGCCCTACTTTCTTATTTTACTCTGTCTAACACCAGATGATTTTACTCATCATGGGGAGAGTGCTGGCGCTTAACTGGCCAAGACTGGTTAATATAGGCACATTTTGCATACTCCTTAGTGTATGTCATAGTAGTTTGTATCATGTTAGTGGTACTAACATGGTAGTGCATAAATCAACTAAATTCAATAGAGCATCTTGTTTTATTGATCAAGTCAAAGTAAAAAAAACCCAAAGAATTGTCACATGCTGCCAATTCCAAGCATTGTGAGAACACCCTGACTCACAATTTAATGAAAATTTTTGTCAAATCTTTGTGTCAGACTCTATTTTGCAAATAGAGCCTTGACACAAAGCTTAATCTGGTTGCTCTCCACCCACAGTAAAATTATATTCTACCAATTTCACATAAATGAACAACACCAATCTAATTCTAGTTAAAACTGCTAATAATAATCTAATCTAATTAATAAGCACTGACCAATCAAAAGACAGATTATACTTTTTAGTCTGATAGACCAATCAAGTGAAAAGCCAGATTTTTACATGTGACCACCCACCCACATATAAGGAATGGAAAACAGGGACTGATACTCAGGCTAGACCTGAACATAGAGTTGAAGCCATTGAACTTTTCAAAGTTTTGAAGATGGCAAGAGTATATTTTGACAAGTACCTTGCATGTCGTCACAAAATTTACTCACTCCAGACTCCTTGTAGCCACAGAACTGGTCCATGCCTTTTTACATACTTTAAACTGCCATAAAATCCAAGGGGCCCACCACAATGTTCCACATTCCATCGAAGCCATAAAATCATGGGCGGATTTACTGGGGGGGGGGGGTTAGGGGGGTTAAACCCTCCTAGAATCTCTCTAACCCCTCTAACAAAGTGTTCAACCCCACCAAAATTTTGCTTCACCCCTCCTATTCTGTGTGAAAGGCTTTAACCCAAACGCCGAACCCCTGTTGAAGCTCACTGAGTGGTGCCGCTTGCACCCCTTCAAATTTTTCTACCCTCCTTTACATAAATGAAAATCCACCCTTGCATAAAATATTGAAATTTACGGAAAGACTGATTTAGATAAAGACAAAAAGCGAAATCGATTTTTGAAGATAAACCGTAAAAGAAACCTCCTACATTCCCTAGGTATCCGCATCCCCATTCCTAAGTTTCTGTATACCCCCCCCACAAGAGGTGATAATCCCCTACCATAGGGGAATCCCCCTACGAGTGGCAGCCTTGCTTGAAACTTCATCATTATTGAGCCAACAGTCTATATGACAGTGGTCACCCACAGAAATCATGTTAAAAAATCAAGAAATCGCATTATAAAACTAGGGCGTGAAATAACGGCTGGAGGGACGCCGGTCAAGGTGACCGGCCAACTCAATTTTAGCTCGGACATACCGTATTTCTGGCCGGTCATATTATTCAGCTTAAAGTAAAGCCTAGTAAAGTATACCCCTAAAAATGTGACTATTTTCCCAGTATAGCATTACAAAAAGCCTTACTGTAATCAGTAATTAAAAACTCCTTCACAGACCTTCACATAAAACAACTTGCACTGCGCTAAAACAATGGCCTTAATTAACTCTTAAGCCAAAAACATGGCCACGGGCTTTGTGACGTACTGCGTGGGAAAGCTGGCGTACATTGAAGTTCTTTTCCCGCAACGTATTGGACAACATGTTATGGTTCTTAATTATAATGCTTGACAACTTTGTTTTGATTATGAATTCAAATGAAGATTAGTTGTTTGTTCTTGTACCAAAAGTGACTAGTCAAAATGACCGGAAAGGTAAGAATTTGACCGGACAATTCCGCATTCTGGCCGGACATTGTCCGTTGACCGGCCGTTATTTCGCGCCCTGAAACAACAGAAATCCGGTTAGTAAGCAGCAAAAATCAGGTTAGAAATCAGGTTAGAAATCACCTGATTTCAAAACATAGACGGATTTTCATATTTATTACTGGGGTGGTGCCAGAAATTTTAGAAGGGTGAGCCATGAGCAGGTGAATGAAGCAACACAAAGTGTCACCAAACCCCAGTAAGGTCTATGTTCCAGGGGTGGAGCACTAGAGCCGCGAGTGGGAGTCTAGAGAGCAGGAAACAAAGTATCCCTGGAAAAATTTGAAAAAAATCATGACTTCTTGCTTCGAAAAAAACGTTTTTTTAAGGTGTCAAATCAATGGATTTGGCCTGTCCAATTGTCTGTTGAGACTTGAGAGAGTTAAAGTTAAATGAACCTGTAAAAGTGTAAACCCAATAGGCCAATACACAATATGCTTTTACTTTTATAAAATCATTGACATTGTGTCGTTTGAATCCGAGTACAATTTATGATGCAACTCCGATGTAAATAATATTTGGGACGTAAAGATTAAATCTATAGGCAAGACTATTTCCTAAAAGAATTAAAAACTAAAAATAATGTTCGTAAAATATTCCTTACATTCCTTGCAAGCAAGCTATTTGCATGACAAGGTACTGCAAACTCTATTCAGGGGAGATAATAGAGTAAATAAACCAGTGAATGTAAGCAAGGAGCAATTAGTTTCAGAGTATTGCACTGTCTTATTTCTATTTGAGTGTACTCCTACGTTTATTTTGTATCATCAACACTCTGCACGTTGGAGTGGACTATTTAATTATTTTTTATGCCGAATATTGGAGGGGGGGTTTGAAATTTTTTTTGGAGGGGTGGACATTTTGTTTGGGGGGGTTGGGTTATAGCTAATATTGGGGGGGGGATAGCAACCCCCTACACCCCCCACAAAATCAGTCTATGTTTCGAAATCTTGTATACTTTAGAATACAGTGGCAGGCCCCTCGATAAAATCAGAGGATTTGGCAAAATGTTTTCCAGAAATACTAGGAATCATGCCAAGATTCGATGTTGATATTTCCCTGTGCCAAGTATCAAAGTAGGTCACATTGCATATTGGTAAAAAATCAGGGGGTAACATCCAACAATTTATGAAAAAATGACTCCCCCCCCCCATCACAATATATTGAACACAAATCAAGGCTAATGGCTAATATTATTAAAGACATTTTGTAAGTGTTAAAACAGAATATCAAAGGACAATACCGGGTTGTACTGGAGTGCTGTGGCGTAGGCTTGAACGGCTCCTTCTAAGTCTCCCGCAGCAACCAATGCTGCCGCTAAATTGATATAGCCATCGATAAAATCAGGTTTTAATTTAACAGCGTGTCTGTAGTTGTCTAAAGCATCTTTTAACTGCCCTCGTTCTTTGTAGACATTACCAAGATTTGAGTAAGCTTCGGCAAGGACGGGGTTTTGTTTTATAGCCAGTGTACTAAAGTGAGCTGATCTAAAGTTTGTGAAAAAAGAGGAATCGAAAATATTTCAATATTAACATATATATATTAGACCAGCATTAATAAATTCGCATATCAAACTTTACTATAAACTTACTTGTCCATTCGACGACATTGAAAATGAATTGAGGATAAAAGAAGCAATACACCAGTATTAGATGGATCTCTTCGCCATAGTTGCATACAAAGCTGTTCTGCACGATTGTAGTTTCCCGTTTGATATTCACGATGAGCCATTTCAGCCAAGGTAGCTATCAATAACAAAATCAAATCATAAATTATAGTTGGCCTGTCTTGGCCATGCCCGACCATTTTAACCCGCGAATGAACACCGATAACTCACTAGCTTCATCCATGATCACTGAGCCCATAACCATGGTTTGACTTGGCGAAAAACAGATCTAAAGATGAAACATTACAGCAGAAACGTACGTTTGGCAACTATTTATATTGTATCCGAAATTAAATAAAGGCTTTTTGCGTGCATAATAATCGCCATACGTCATGCGCACGCACACATGCTGTGGTTTAAAAAAGCAAATTTCTATTCATGAAAAGCAACCAAATTTTTTCCACCATTCCAGCTCTTATCGATTCATATTATTTGAAACATGGAATAATTTCATCTAACGCTCATTTTCTAATTTATATGAAAAATTAAGAGGTAAACACATTCGGGAAATTAAGAGACAAACATGTTCGTTTCCGATCAAAGCTTAAATTCTCATAACAGGAACCCGGAAACAGCCGGTGAAACACGTGTGGTGAAGTTTGATATTATAAGAATTTCAGTTTCAATCACGAAAACAACAATATATAACCATTTTTTTTCACTATATCTACAATCATGGATGTACTATATCTAACATAACTAGCGGTTTATTATAATTGTCGCAAATGCTCAAATTATTCTTTCATTTGTAGCATCGATATAAAAAAAAACGGTAAAACGTTGGACGAATAGCTAAAATTCTTATTACGTACTACTGAGCTTTATCGTTGAGCATAAATTATATTCTTCAAATGGAATAATCATGGTCGAGAGGATAATAGATATTTAAAATTACTATAGCTTCAAAAAAATATTTATTTGGTTCACATTCAAAAATAACTATTATTAAATAACTCTACTTTTTGGCAATTTTCCTCATTTAAAGTAATGGAATTTACTGGAGATACTTTTAAAAAAATAGAGTGTTTGAAAACATGGCAATTATAACATTTATAATAAAATAATATAATTTATGCCAAAGCCCCAAAATAATTAAAGTAATTTGTTTAAAAAGAATTCGTGATTTTGGTTACATTTTCCAAGATATTTTTAGCTAATATTTACCTTTATTTTAATAAGCTACTATTCCTTGTTTAATCCTTTGCACGAATACTATTTTCTGGCGGATTTCCGTTTTGGATAATTTTTCGGATCATGTGGTCTTATCGTGCATAGTAATTATTTTGATCGATTATATAAACTCACATATTAATAAACTCGCCACTTCTCTGTTTGGGGTGTGTTTGGTGCAGGAGTTGATTTACAGTTCGCTGAGAAAGGTCCGTTTCCTTGGTATAATTTCCCTCTGTCTTTATCATCCCTCTGTTTTTATCATCCCTCTATCTTTATCATCCCTCTGTCATTTATGATATAATTGTTTGTATTCCTTGCAGGATTCTTTGTCATAATGTCTGATAAGCCTGATATATCCGAAGTAACGAAGTTTGACAAATCAAAGTTGAAGAAGACTGAAACCACAGAAAAGAATACCTTACCTACGAAAGCAAGTAAGTGCAACTATTAAGCTTTCCTTGCTGTTCTCATGTGTCTCCTATACATAGAATACTTCGTTAGAACATCGATTTCCCATCAATATCGAGTATTGTTTCATGTAGTGTGTGATATACGACACCTTCGAAATGTATTGGAATTTTGACTAGTTTATATTCTTTTGTCTGTGTGCTTTCGTATGTGTTTATCATTATCTTGACTATCTACGCATGATAACCTGAATAAACTGAGAAACTTTTAGTCTCCTGGCTCGCAAACGCAAATTTTACTAGCTTTGGCAAACTCTAGACTGGGCGGTGCCTATTTTCAGTGTGCTGTTTCTTGTTTGTCGTTTCCACGCATTTCTGACGTCTTACAAAAGCAAACGTTCGCCAAAAAGTTAATCTATTTAGGAAATTATGTGAAAAGTGCTAGAATGGACTGGTGTTAGATGATTATTTTCCCTTTACGTTTAGCTATTGATCAAGAGAAGTCTGGATAGAGTTGAATATCGGAAATCCATAATAGAATAATGACAGATATTAAAATTTTGTATTACATATTGACAATTTGGGAACACTGCTTCTCCAAAAGAATACGAGCAAATGGTTGTAAATTATAGCAGTATTTTAATTTGTGTAAACACTTAGTTGTATATCTTTGGAACTTTAGTTATTTTGTATCTACACCGTGTGCTTTAAAATAAATAATTGCTCAAAATTATCTGGGTGTGAGTGTGTTTGTATTTCCCCCAAGACTTCTAAAGACTGCTGCAGATAATGCCGGAAATGATATTGCTGCTGCTGACACACTTGTTGCGTATTTATACTATTATAATAGAAGTAAACTTGCCAAAACTTGAAGTAATTTGTAAGAACAACACACCACTGTTTAGCCAATTCAATACCTTTTTAAAATCTGTTTTACACTATAAATACCGATTGAAGTTTCAGACCTGTTGACAACAAACTCGACGTTGCAGGAATGAATATGTTTTATATATTTCGTGTTATAATATTTATCTAGACATCTGCATCGACAATAAAGAAAGAAAAGTACTATGACTAATAGAAATGACTAATATAGACTAAATCTTATTTCCGTTAGGCAAAACCGTTTCCCTTTTGCATTATTAATTTGGACTTCACAAAGAGTATCTTGTTCCAATTTTGGGTCTTACACCACAGCCACAGGTCTTGTATAAGCGAAGCCCAAATTTCCAATTAGACAGCTGTGTGTTTTGGCACCTACTGTTTCCTTTTATTTACAAGCTGAAACAAAATGCGTTCAGGCTTGTGCCAATACAACTTTGGAAATGAAGAATGAATTTAAATAATGCTAATTGAACTCGAGATTGAACTTTTGTGTATAAATCCTTATACAAATTTATACACAGTAAAAATAATCTGGTGGCTTATGTGGCTAGACTTCTTAGCCTCCAGTGTTAAAAATATTTGCAGAATTTGAATGGTGGGGAACTCACTTTCCCTTTCTCCAGACAAGTAAAATTGTATGGCCTTGGACAGAATAAAATAAGAAAGTAGAGTGCAGTTTTAATGAATAGTTGTAAATATTTAAACATATTAAAATGGCAGCTTATCATAAATTTAGCTTAATTAACCCAGTGAGCACCAGTGCTCTCCCCTTGACAAGAAAAATCATTTGGCATTAAGACAGAGTAAAATAATAAAGGCCAACAATGAACTAATTTAGAGTAAAATAATAAAGGCCAACAATGCAACTTAATGGGTTAACTAGACACATGGCAGATTACCAATACCAGCACTCTCCCCTTGACACTCTTCCCTTAGTATAAAAATTGTCTGGTGACAATGGGTCAAATGGCAGTCTAACTTTAAGAGCCAGTCTATAGTATGAGAGAGATACAACTACCTAAAAAATATAAGCAGAACTTCAACATTTTGATGTCTTTGATCGAGTGACGGCCCTATAGTTTTCACTACTAACTTCCCGATGAAGGGCCTTCTGACTTGAAACATAATTGTAGTTCTGCTTATATTTCTCAGGTAGTTGCCATCTTTCTCACACCACAGCTGTTTGTTATCAACACTATACCTAGATGTAGACTCAAACTTTGTTTAGTCTTCTTAATCTTTTTCAGATAGTTTTAACTGGACTGGACCAACCAGGGAATCACATGTTGTAGAATACTGCCTACCATAGCTACACTGACATACACTGAACCACATGTTTCAGATGTTACAGTAGTGGTCATAATAGCAAGGTTCAGATTTGACGTCCACTACCGCTACCATTAAGGGACCATTAGCCAATCAGATGTGTTTGATTTATCAGATCAACCAATCACATGTTTACTATTAAGCCAGTGAGAGGTAGTGGTAGCAGAAGAAATCTGAACCTCTATAATGTCTGTCACAATGTAATCATAGGAATCTGATATGAATGTAAGAGCTGGTATGTGTTTGGGCATGCATATTGCACTATCTTTATTTGCTATTGGAGCATTGTCTTTTACCTGTAATAGCCCAATTACATATTACCACATAATTGCAAAATAAGAAATAACTATATAATTATAACTGTGGAATATATGTTAATTACCCACCCGGATAATTCGCGAACAAATTGATAATTCCGGGGGGCGGCACGGCACTTTTATGTAAGCTTCCGTTCTATGCTTCCGATAAGACCTGTATTTATATTTATACATGTAAAGGCGCGCGAAGTATAAACAATAAAATTGCTGGTTGTAAATTGTAAAAGAAACACCGATTGAGCTTTAAAACAATTAAAATGTCTGATAATTCTCTTGGAACAGATTCGTCGACAACAACAAGTGTAAACTATACTTTAAATGACTCAACACTACTATCAGATGATCTGGCAGGGACGGTGTCGTCTCTTACAACTTCAGTACTTTCCACTACAGCTGATGATAGTAAAATAACTGCACATATGATTGAAAAGAAACAACTTTTACATGAAATGGATCGACTACGTATAGAACTTAGTCACAAAACATTGCTTGTTGAGAGCTACAAAGCAGAACTTATGAATAAGATTGATGATCTTGAAGAGAAATTGTCTGATGTTACATACTCTAAACATATGTTGAAAGCAAAGCTTGAATCACAACTAAAATTAAAAGAAGATGAAGCTAATATTCAACAACGTAAATTAAAAGAACAATTAACACAAATTACTGATCGACAAAAACAGCTTGAAGAAGAAAATATCAAGCTTCATGAAAAATCAGGGTATTTGAAATCAAGTCTGTTTGTTGACATCAACCAGCTGACAGAAGAGCAGTATATAGATCTCAAATCAAGAGATATAGATCAGTTATCATTGAAAGACTATGTTGCAGTAAGTAATTTAATGGCCACTGTTTTGTTGTCTCCAGGTGCAAGAGAAAACGTAGGGTGCATTGCGGTTACCATACTCTGTAACACAGTAACACCAGAGTATAATTTGTACTCGTGAAGCAGAAAGTGTTGCATGCTAATATGGGTAAAAATAGGTACGCTGTAGCGTACATGGTATCTACTGGATCAAAAATAAAGAATGTCAATGCCGTCCGGTTTATATTTACATTTCTGACTTTGGAGTGGGGAAAATTAAAATATCTTGGCAAGTATTTACTCGCCCTTTGAAACGAAACCACCGTTGAAATCCTCGTAAAATAACCTTTCGAACGGTGGGTCAAATGCCGTCGTAACATTACACTGAACCAAAACAATCGCCATTTACTCACCGCTTGGCCAAACATTTTGTGCTTCATATGGAGAAAAAGTTGAATACCTTCTGAACTCTTCAGACTAAGTCAATAGGAGTGAAATACCCCTTGTCTTCAAGCGCTTTCGTGTAGAAATATTTATTTTGAATTTTTCAGAATTTCGGGTTGTTACTCCCACGCGCGTGCCACACTCTAAAATTGGCCAATAATGAGCACCCATAGCCCCAATGCATGTGCAAATCACGCTACATGAAGCCTGGGTAATTTGACCTTTAGAATTCCCAACGTTTCCCGATCGCGAGTGCCAGGATGTATATAAACATCGCATTGTTTTAATATGTCAAGCTGTATTTCCGGTCGAGGCTCTTTTAGATTTTCTGAAATACCGAAATAAAAGTTGTAGCTACAAACTTGAAAATAACACTCTAAATGGTGTCTTGGATTGTGATTCGAACAAGAATATTACAAAAAAGATAGGTTGAAAGGGGCCAAAGTTATATTCGGCGAAAGGTATGGTTCGAGAATGGCTAGTTTATATTTTATGGCTATTTTACATTATAGTATGTTTCAAGCGGAATTTGTTTGGTGATATTTTCATATTTCTACTCGAATACTCGCTGAGTTCTTTATAATAACGTCGGAAAAAATAAATCTCAAGGCTGGACGGCATTGATAAAACCATTTAACAAAAACAGTTCGGAAACATTTGTAGATGCGCGGGCTTTAACCTAGCCAAAGAGCCTGTTTGCAGGAAAAGTGAACTGTCCACTCAAAAGATCTAAACCCCTTGTCGACAGCATATGGCGACTACTGTTCCAGTAGACGCCAAAAAACTATAATATCTGCCCATATTTATTTTTAAACATTAATCTACAACACATCCTAATGTTCCCTACTTTGTTATATTACCCTGTCAAGTGCCAGATGATTTACTTCAAGAAATATATCATGTACTGAGTACTGATTAAATTTATTAACCCATTGAGTCACACTGTGCACCCTGATGCGCCCTACTTTATTATTTTACGCTGTCTAATGCCAGACGATTTTACTCATCAAGAGGAGAACGCTGGCACTTAATGGGTTTAATGGGTTAACTGGCCTATCTGCCCATGTGTCTAGTTAACCCATTGAGTCGCATTGTACCTTGATGGAATGATGCGCCCTACTTTATTATTTTACTACGTGAAGTGTTCCTCTTTTGACTTCCTAACTCATTTGGATTTTCCTCATTAGCTTTGCAAATTTGAAAAACTCTTTGCAAATCCCTTGAGGGAATTTGCAATGATCCTATCAGCTGTTGCAATATTCCAATGCAAAAAAAGTTCATTTTAAATTTTCCTAACTTCCTGTTTTAATTTCCTGTTCTGTTCTGAGTGTAATTGTCATTGATGGATTATTTTTGTTAGCCAATGCAACTTGCAGAACAGAACAGGAAGTTAGGAACTTGTAACAGGAAGTTAAGAACTTCTAACAGGAACTGAGAAAATTTAATCGGCTTTAGCAAGGGATTTGCAAGGGATTTGCAAGGGAGTTTTTTTTAAATTGATATTCCGAACAATGACAATGTTTCAAGATACAGGTTCAATGTCCCAGGGCTTGTCTGCCCCCTTAAACCAGAACTAAATGTTCATACTAGAGCATTTTTTGACATGGATGCAGTCTAGCTGTGTGGAGCTTTAGGTACCAGGGCTGTAAATAAATATTTGACTTGACAGGACAGTTGTCCGATCACTTTTAATTTTGGTCGGACATAACTTGAATTTGGTCGGACAAAAACCAATACCACTAAATTTGGTCGACATATATATGTCACAAGATATATATAAGTCACGAGACAAGTATGTATAGCCATTCCCGTGCAACATTAAGTAAAATGCTAGAATGCCTCGTAAATTTTATTGCAAAATGCAAATTGAGTGAATTTGCAATCGGATTTTATCACAGCAAAAAAAATGTATAGTGTGACGGGTTTTTTTTGTGATCAGACCAATGTCCGATCAAAATTACTTTTGCTCGGACATTTGCCAAATTTAGTCGGACATTGTCCGATGTCCGACAGTAATTTGCAGCCCTGGTACTAAACTATTATAGCCAATATTATAAATATGTTAGCAATATTGAAAACAAGGTACAGTATAGAGCCAAGGTGACATACTTATAGAAAGCATGTATTCAATTAGCCTTTCTCACGCCGCCATTTTTGGGGTACTTTTTTGCCAATCCTGCGAGCGTAACACCACGTAACGGCGACATTTTATAATTTTGTGGGTGTATGATGGTAAATTTACTCTGTAAATAGTTAGTTTGTTCTGAAATATTGCTTTTCACATTGTTATAGTCGTTTACGAAAAATTACAGTACCCCAAAAATGGCGGCGTGAGAAAGGCTAATTAATTTCATTCATTTCAGACATTCACATTCAGCATGTCAGGTGGGGGTTTTGGGAGGTGTGTACCTCACTGAGATCGTTTTGCACCTCCCCTGAGATTTTTTGTACCTCCCCTGAAAAGTCATGCACCTCCTTGGGATTAAGGTTAAATGATAGATCAATGTGTGTTGCTTTGGGTCTAAGATTGTTTTTTGTAAAATTTGAAACTATTCATCTCTGTATGATAGTACTGTAACCATTCATCTCTGTATGATAGTAATGTAATGAAGGGCAAAATTAGATGCGTTGTATAGTCCTAATTCACAAATACACCAGTAGTTGACATATGTACAGTACGTCAGTACGTGCATACATCACGTAGTTGACTTTAGGGGGTTAAATTCTAAGTCCTTAGAACATTCCATTGGGGGTTGTGAGCTAGACTGCTGCACCTCCCCTAAATATTTTCCCTCATCTTCTCTGTCTTCAATTAAGTAATGAGACAAAACAAAACTATGTTTAATATAAATGAAATCTATATGTAATTTGTACATGCGATAGATGAACCAGGCGGAAATCGTAATCTTAGGATAAATATTAATGCCCAGCATAAAACACGTAAAAGAGCCATAACAAAAATATAATTTAAAATATTTATTTGAAAGCTAACGTTTCGTCTTTAACTTAAGACATCTTCAGAGCAATGACATACAAAGCGGAAAACACAGAAATATGAATAAATTACAACTATTTACAAGATATTATGTTACAAAAGTAGAAAGAGGAATGGATCAGAGTAGAAGTAGAGGGACCGAGCTGCCCTGTAAGTTGAGAGAGGGTTTGAGTTTGTTAATGAGAAGACTTTCTCGAATGAGGAGTTCGTCTGGAGAAGAGCAACAAGAAATAATCTTAAAATCATTAAGAGAGGCGGAGTGACCAGTGCTATCAAGATGGGAAATGGGGTAGTTATTCTTGACAAGGACGACTACAACAAGAAAATGGAAGCCATACTGGAAGATGAAACCAAATTTCAAATTTTATACGGACTACCTAAAATCCACAAGAACAATATCCCACTTAGACCTATTCTTTTTTGTATAAACCATTATTCCTATAAAATCGCTAAATTTTTTATTCCTCTCCTCAATCCCATTTCGTCAGGTGCTTATATGGTTAAGGATTCTTTCTCTTTTGTCCAGGAATTACTCAGCCTCAATCTCGATTCCAACAACGTTGTTATGGCAAGCTTTGATGTGACTTCCTTATTTACCAACATTCCTCTAGATGAAACCATTGACATAATTTCAAACCGCTTATTCTCTAATGCTGTTCGCTTTCATGGTTTGACTCAATTGGAATTTAAGAAACTTCTTGGTCTTGCTGTGAAAAACTGCTCCTTTTTGTTTAATGGGGTTCTGTTTCAACAGATTGACGGCGTTGCTATGGGGTCACCCTTAGGTCCGTTATTCGCCAATATATTCCTGTCTTTTCATTAGTCTAACTGGTTAAATAACTGTCCTGTCAACTTTAAGCCATTATTGTACCGCCGCTATGTTGATGACTGTTTCTTGATTTTCCAGTCTGCTGATCATATACCTCAATTTCTCTCTTATTTAAATCGCCAGCATCCTAATATTAAATTCACTAGTGAAGTTGAATCTAGTTCCACACTTCCCTTTCTTGATATCAGCATTTCTCGGAAGAATGGTGTTTTCGAAACTTCTATCTATCGAAAGCCCACCTTCACAGGTCTGTTTACCAACTTCCGTAGCTTTATTCCTTTTCAATATAAACGTAGCTTAGTTTCTTCTCTTATTCATCGTTTCTTTAGTCTTTGCTCCAATTATGAGAACTTTCATGCTCAGTTAGAACTATACCGCCAGATTCTTAATAAAAATTGTTATCCAACTCGTCTTTTTGATCGCTGCGTACGAACATTTTTAGAAAATGTGTCTCAACCCAAACCAGCTGCTCATTCTGCTCCTAAGAAAGTTCTATATTTCTCTCTTCCATATACTGGCGCTCACTCTCTTCTAATTCGCACCCAAATTTCCCGTCTTTGTTCACCTTTAAGGACAAAATTCCTAACGCTTTAAGATCTTGTGTTGTGTATTCCTTCATGTGTCGTTGCTCAGGCATTAAAATACGGAATTTTTACAAGGACACACTTTGCCTTCAGAGGCGTACTTTTTGTATAAATGCGCCGACTCACGAGAACGAGTGCCGAAGCCACAAGTTTAGCGTCAAAGACGCGAACTTTTAAGGGGTCCCTGAAATGGCATTTCCAGAGTTCTGAGAACAGAGTTTGCAAAATCTTTGGCCATTTTGCGTGGATTACATTAATATATTTTCAGTTTAATATATTTTCAAGTACACACTTTTCAATTTACAAGGGCACATTCGCCTTTTACAAGGACACAAAGTGTGTACAAGGACAAGCTATTTTAATGCCTGTCGTTGCTGTTCCGCAACGTATTTGGGCCAAACGGTCCGTAACTTGCACACACGAGTTCCTGAACATTTGGGTGTTTCTCCTCTAACAGGCAGTAAAAGCAGCAATCCGACCATGTCTAGTATCCTTTCCCATCTTGATAGCACTGGTCACTCCGCCTCTCTTAATGATTTTAAGATTATTTCTTGTTGCTCTTCTCCAGACGAACTCCTCATTCGAGAACGTCTTTTTCATTAACAAACTCAAACCCTCTCTCAACTTACAGGGCAGCTCGGTCCCTCTACTTCTACTCTGATCCATTCCTCTTTCTACTTTTGTAATATAATATCTTGTAAATAGTTGTCATTTATTCATATTTCTGTGTTTTCCGCTTTGTATGTCATTGCTCTGAAGATGTCTTAAGTTAAAGACGAAACGTTAGCTTTCAAATAAATATTTTAAATTATATTTTTGTTATGGCTCTTTTACGTGTTTTATGCTGGGCATTAATATTTATCCTAAGATTATGATTTCCGCCCGGTTCATCTATCGCAAGTGTTTTAATTTACCAATAAACCCTGCTTGCCTGCCAGACATTCATACACACCAAATGATCGAAAAAGCACCCAGTGGTAGCATTGTTGTAAAGAATGAAATGGAGGAAATTCAACACTATCGCAACACTATATATAAATGTATTGACTACTGTGTGATTCATTGCAAGGTTTATACTGATCAACCAGTTATCTATGCTCAAATGATCGACCAGTTGTCTATTATTTTAGTCTGCCTAACGCCAGATTATTTTGCTGTCTAACACTAGACTATTTACTCATCAGGGGGAGAGTGCTGACACTCAAATACTCAATGGGTTAAAAAACATTGAAAGAAAATGTTTAGCAGAAGCTGAAAAATTGTTTATTGGTGTCTGGTGTAATACTGATATTTCTTTTATTTGTAAGGATAGAGCTGGGGAGCTTCTAATGGTACAGTCTTAGCCCTACCCCAGTTTTTCTGTACTGCATGTGTTTTTGTCACTTCCCTGATTATACCATAAGTATTGTATCCCATGGACCGCATCTTATCAGTTCTGCAGTTTTTTGACAATCTACTGTAAACCTCCACCTAAAAGCACTGCGCTTATATTCTTTCGTA